AGCTTTCTAAAGTGATATTTAGTAAAATATCTTCTCAGCTTCTTTATCAAGTGTTCCTGCGGTTCTTGAGGGGTTAGCGATCGATTATTTGAGAGTAAATGCCCCCCCCCCTCTACGGAGCTTAATTTGCTTATCTGCTTAAGCCACCTTGTAACGTGATGTTCAAACAACTAGCGCCTTGTATTCGCCGAAGGAAGACCACATTAATCATCGCTTCATAGAATTGGCTCTGCATTTGGTCTCAAGCACAGTACGTGTAACCCGGCTTTTTTAAAACTCTAGATGTGGGAATTTGGTTTCACATATTGCAAAATTAATACCTTCCATACATTTTCCTTCTGCACGTAATAATATGGTGAAGCTGGTGAATTAGATGAATAAAGGCACAATTTATAGCTGGTAATGTTCTTACAGTCTGTGATTAATGATACTTCAATGAATAAACAGTTTCTTGTGCCTCATTTCATACCGCTTTACATCATAATTACTGGAAATACGTTAGAAGTAAAATTCTTTATAAACAATACCAATTCCATTGTAAAATTAATAATATAAGTAAGTATGCAAAAATTTTCACATTAACCGTAGAAAAATATCATCGAGAATACTTTTAGAATTAATTCAGATATCTTTATTTGACCGCAAATAATATTTTCCTTCCAGCATCAGGAGTTAAAATGTTTTATGCATATAACTGCATCAATGACAGCCAAAACGAACGAACTGTTAGTTTTACACGTAGCATTAGTCTCTGTTTCTTAATACAACTGCAATGACATTAGTTTCCATACGTTATAGGAAAAGTATACTTTTCAGTTGACTTCCAGATAAATTATTTACTTTGTAGGGTTATAAGGTATTTCTCCCGCCTTCTTAGCATGCCTTTGTGGAGTGGTGGTCTGCACGCTGGGCACGTATTCCAGAGGTCCGTGGTTCGATTCCCAGCGAAGACGTTGCTCATTTTACACATCTTAGCTTCCAAACAGCCTAATGTCTCTAAAGGGTAATTAGGTTCTATCGATGCACGAACGTGAAAAAAATGTGCATTGCACTCGCCGGGATTCCAGGGATTCCGAATACGGGTCGAATGTGCTTTCAGTTACACCACGGAGGCTTGCGGAAACATGGGAGGAAATAATTTTTAAAGGGCCTTTTAAAGAACGACTAGAAATTAGGGGACACAGTCGCCAAATTCTGGGAGTGACGTGCTATTGACCACAACCTTCCAGTTCGGGCGCAGCTGCAGAGTTGTTTATAATTTTTCTCCGAAGTCAGGAAATTGAAGAAATCTGCAGTGCCCTGCCCGGGATTCGAACTCCGGACCTCCTGAATACGGGCCGATTGTGCTTCCAGTTACACCAAAAACGTTGGGAAAAGCAGGCAGAAATACCTTATAACTTACATAAATTGTTCTTAGAATTGGGTTCAACTAAGTGGTAAGATAACATCTTATATATTATGTAACTGCACATTTAATAAATTAAATTATTATAATTAGACGTATAAAAGAAATCAACACATATGACTTCGAAATAACTTCATATTTTAAATTTAACAAATTATTATAAAATTGCGTTGTGAAAACTTTAGATTACAATCTATTATCTCGAATTGTGTACAGTTAAATTTTCAAAAGTTAAGAAAGAATTTAAAAATTTTAAATTATAAAAGTCAAAAGATTAAAAATAATTAATCTCAGTGGAGTGGAGTCAGTTTAACAAGTGAAAGAATTTTAACCAAAACTAGTACAATATTCTTACTAGTTAAGAATTTTTGGGCAGACATTAAGAATGTAAAATATAAAATCTTACATTTAAAACCAGACTTTCGAAATAGTAACGCTAAACAGTTACAGAACAATGCTCTGAGATTCTTTCACTATAAACTAACGTAAAGACTTGTGCATTTAAAGTAATAAATAAATGTCTTTAATTACTTAAGATGTAGTTCTGCATTTAATTCATGGATCACTTGCACTGAGGGTTCGAGCACACATTTCTCTCTAATGGCAAACATTCTGCTTTGAAACATCACAAACCGTAAAGGACAAAAAAGATTTCCAAGCGTTTGCATTAAAATACTAATTTAAATCTTCATATTTTTTAAAATCTTTTAATGAGACTTTTTTATTTAGATATCCTTTCCATCGTTAATATTAAAGGAGTTATACATGCTTAGTCATATTCGCTAACTCAAAATGATAAAATTTTGGCATATACCAATAATTTAAGACATAAAAATCGATGAACAGATAACGAATTTATGATGTTTGACTTGCTTTGGAAGCATAAATTAGTATTAAGTATCCTAAGAGACGTTAACTATCGCTATCCTATCGTTATTCTGGACAGTACTACGGTCAGAACTGGAACAAAAATGTATGATTCCTGCTTACAGTTCAGCCAGCCACTTGTGTGAGATATGACTTAAAGTAACAATAACTTCAAATTAAAATTTAAACTAAGACTATTAGCCAAGAATTACGCAGAGGACTTAACGAGAAGTTGGATCAAAACTTCCTACCGGCATAGCAATTTAAACATATCTAATAATACAATCTTTTCCGAACTAGTTAACCTAGTAGCATGACCTTGAATCTGACTTAAACTCTCAAAAAACTCCTTTAACTGTTATTTTTTTCTTCCTTATTTACATTCTGGTAGGGAAACGAAAAGTGACATTAAAGATTCAAAACTTAAAATAACCGCTTGATGAAAAACAATAATAATAACTCCACAGTTTTCCCTACCAGAATTTAAGTAGAAAGAACAAACGTCTTTAATGAACTTGGTCTGATTCTAAATTCTAACATTGAAACTAAGCCAACTTTTACAATCAATATCTTACAAGGTAAGTAAAATGTAAATTACTGAAGATGACCACAAAACGTATTTTATAGAGCAACTGACATTTTATAAAATAAAACACCTGTTCTTCCAGGTATCTGGAAGGAAAATAGTTTACGAATTAAGCTTTCACAATTAATACAATTGACACTATATCTCGATTGCGAAAGGTTCTTTCTCATTCACTTAACATGCAGAAATTTTACTCTACGTATACTTTATAGTATTTAATTCTCCGCCTGGCTTTCAGAAAATGTCCTGTATGTCAGAGCGCGTGACAATGGTTTAAGTATTTCAACATTCCCACCTGACCCAAATGCTACATGTTAATAACTTGAACACATTAGACCTCAAAGAAAACTTTAATTTTCAGAATTATTTCTACAGCAAATAGTTTACTATACTTTAGTGTTAGTTGGACAGGTGACAGGTGAATGCAGGGCCCGGACACCCGGACGGCTTAATATGACAAATCGGGTGTCGTCCGGTACCCGCACCTATTTAGAACAACACAACCCTGGCGACTTCCTGAAAGGGCTGCATCGGAAATATATTAATGGAGAATATGTGGTATTGACGTGGCCAAACAAGGGCGTGTGCATATATATGCTTCAGTATACAATTAATAAAAAGTTTCATACATAGGTACATTGGTGGTATAGGTACATTGGATACATATGTATATTGGTCTAAGGGGTTAATGAGATAGGCAAACAATAAACACTTATACATTAAAAGAAATGAAACACTGACGCAACTGGCGCAATAATGCAGAAGATGACAATTAATGAATACACGTAATCGTGTGTCATCCTATATGACTATACATAAACTACTAGAAATGATATGCATAAACACATACAAATGATGGCGATAAATGAAAACACATAATCATACATTATTCTACTGGACTATACACACATCAATAAAAATGATACATACACACCTATACGTTGACAGAAATGATACACTGAGAATGAAAATTGTGTATCAGTGTGAACGATGACAAATTAAAGGTTACACATATTCGTGTATTACCTTACTTGGCTATACATATATATTAGTACAAATGATACACTTAAACACTTATACATTAATGGAAATGAAATACTGAAAATGGCACTTATACATTATACGATAGATGAAGAATAATGGTAACACGTAATCGTGTATCATCCTAAGTGGCTATACATACAGTAATAGAAATGATACACTTATACATTAATATACATTTATAACATGGTAAATGATGCATTTATACATTAATAGAAATGGTACACTGACAATGATATTTTCACATTAATACGAAAGATGACAAGTAATGATAACACATAATCATGTATTATCCTACTGCGCTATGCGTACATGAATAGAAATAAGACATTTTATGCACCTGTAAGTTGACAGAAATGTTGCACTGAGTGTAATGCCTGTGCATCATTGCGAGAGATGACAATTAATATTTACACATAATCGCATATCGTCCTACGTGGCTATACATACATTAGTGGAAGTGCTACACTTAAACATTAATACTAGAAACGACACACTGAAGATGGTACTTGTGGATAAATATGAAAGATGACGATTAATAAAAATACATGAACATAAATTATCCTACATAGCTATGTATACATTATTAGAAATGAAACCTTTAACACCTATACATTAATAAAAAACTGATACACTGAATTGTGTATTAATGCGAAAAATGACAATTAATGATTATACATACTCGTGTGTTATCCTACATGGCAATATAGACATTAGTAGAAATGATACGCTTAAAACACTGATACATTACTACAGAAGATGCACTGAAAATGGTACTTGTACAGTAAAACGATACATGACGATTAGTCATAACACAAAATCCTGTGTTATTCTACATGGCTTTACATACATAGACAGGGATGGTACACTTAAACGAATGATGTGCGTTGGATACAAAAGTGCGTTGATCTAGATAGTTAAAACTAAAGTAATGGTATGCAACAATTATTGGAGATGCACTGGTGATTAATGAAATAATTGAATGACAATTAATAACATAGGTAAGAATGAGTGACAATTAATGAAGGCACGATACATAAGCACATTGCCATAGGTACATTGGATATAAAGGTTGGTTATGTGGAAAGGATAGGGTTGTGGTTAAGCCGAATCACACAAGTCCTGGCCTAATGCTTGCAGTCTGTCCATAATACTTTTGAGTTTTTTAAGTACCGCTGGTTGGCGAATGAAGAATCTTTTATAGGCTGGATCTGTGTTGTAAAACGGCATGTGCCACTCTCGTGTTAGTGGGCAGAAGGTGACATAATGGTCCGGGCTACCTGGCTGGCCACACACACAGATGTTGGTGTTTGTTATTCTTCGCTCTAGAAAATAATCGGGGAATGGACCATGACCCGTTATAAATCTGGTGATGTGTGGCTGAGATATCTGTCTCTCAAGGCTGACTTTGTGAGCGAATTCGTAGGTCCTTCTTCCTTGCGGAATAGAATTCCACTCTTCCTGCCATTGCTTGAGTGCGGCGTTTAGAACAGCCTTCTTTACATAGGATTTTGGTAATTTTATTGCCAGTTGTTCCGCATCGAGATTGCTCGCGGCTTCTTTGGCTAGTAAATCTGCCTCCTCATTCCCCTGGTGTCCAGCGTGTGCTTTAATCCAGAAGATGAGGATGCGTCCTTCGTACTGGTGCAGGGTTTGCTGAATGCGCCCTATGATGGGCGACCTGTGAAAAGGATTCCGAATTGCATGAATTGCTGACAGGCTGTCGGTGTGTATTTCTGCGGTGGAGTAGCTAAATTGACTCGCTGCTAGGATTGCCTGGCGTATGGCTTCGGCTTCCGCCTGAAAGACCGAGTTGCCTGCGCCCAGAAAGCCTTTCCAAGACCTTAAGGTGCTTCCATTTCGTTTGATGGTATAGCTACAGCCTGTCGTTCCATTCACCTGGGAGCCATCTGTATAAATCTTAAGGGCATTAGAGTGATCGTTGTTGTCTTCAAGCATCGTTGTATAAGCATGGACATTCTTGCAGAAAAGGGCCGGGTGTACTTCCGCAACTTGTAGATTGCTCTCAAAGTCCTCCGGTGAGAAATGGAGGTTCTGGTATTGAGCAGGTTGCTTAAGGAGAGTAACTTTTGCGATGACCGCTTCCATTTGGGCCCGTATGTGCAGTGGAATAAGTCCAGCCAGCACTGTGGCTGCTGCAGTCGCTGTGGTCCTGTAGGCCCTCGTGATGGCCAAAACAAATGGGCGTTGAACGCTGTTCAAAATTTGTTGCTTCCTTGTAGTCATTGGAAGTGCCCATATGGCCGCTCCATAGATAAGTATTTTTTCTACCACTGTGCTGTATATTATCTTTAGGATGTGGGGCCGGAGCCCCCAGTCTGAGCCTTGCATGCCCTTTATTCGGGAGGCTATTCTATGAGCTTTAATGCGTTGAGCTCGCAAATGAGGGAGCCAGGAGAGTTTTTCATCGATTAATAAGCCGAGAAGCTTTAGTTCTTTCACTCGTTTTACTCTCTTTTGTCTAAGGTTAATACATGGATTGCGAAGGAGTGTCTGGCCAGGTTTATGGAATATTATATATTTCGACTTGAGCTCCGAGATTCGTAGCTTCTTTTGGTTGCAGAGCATGTCAAACTGCGAGATAACGTCATTGCAGCGGGCTTCGAGAACGTGCCTGCTGTGTCCTCTGACGATGAATGTAGCATCATCTGCAAATGCAAATGCCTTCGCTCCTTCCGGCCACTGAGTGCACAAGATCGAATTGAAAGTCATGTTCCATAGGACAGGACCAGCGCATGATCCCTGTGGACAGCCCCTGGTCTGTTGTCTGGTAATGATTCCTCCGTCGTGCACAACTATGAATTTTCTGTTGCTGAGGTAACTTTTAAAAAACTGTAAAAGATTGTTTGGAATATCAGCTGTGTGCAGGGCTTCGAGCACAGCAGGCCACCACAGGGAATCAAATGCACTTTGGAGATCTAAACTTAGTACTGCTACGTGTTGATTGTTACTGCGAGCTTCCGTGATTTCTTTCTGAAGAAGATCAAGGGCATGGACCGTTGATATGCTTTCCCTGAAACCGAATTGTAGCTGCGACAAGAATTTTTTCCGGGTGAGGTGATGCTTTAGTCTGGTGTGACTGCAAGTTTTTCTAAAACCTTCCCTATTGCCGACAACAAGCATATCGGGCGGAAGGAGGTAGGGTCATTCGGATGCTTCTCAGGTTTGGCAAAGAGGACTACTTGCCCCGTTTTGAATGCCACTGGAAAATACCTGTGCTCCAGCAATTTGTTGAAATACTTGCAAAGGAATCCGGGTTTTGCCTTGTGTACAGCTTTGACTATGCTGTAATCAAGCGAGTCAGGGCCTGGTGCTTTTCGCTTGGGCAGAATACGCATGATAGCGTTGACTTCCGGATCCTGAAAGGGAGGATCGTCAGTTGCCGTCGTGAAGAGCTGGTATGCCAGGTGAGAATTTTCTGTGAATTCCTCCTGACTGTCGTTGGGAAAGACTGCATCCAGGATTTTGGAGAGTACTGCCTCCTTTGTAGTCTCTTGCTCGGGTGGTGAACTGTCAAAAAGGCGAAGCTGTGGCGGTTTAAAGACACTACCTCGTGCTATTTTGAATAGCGCACCATAAATATCGGTGTTATTAGTGCAAAAGTTTCTCCAACACGCAAGCTTTGCATTAAGAATTGCTCTTTTATATTCCGCTTGCGCCTTTCGGTATGAGATGCTGAGTGCCAGCCTAGCTTCCTGGTCGTATTCTGCTTTCATGCGCCTTCTCATTGCGCGTGTTTTACTGCGCTGCGCTCGGAGATCTTTCGTCCACCAGTTCGGCATATGCAGCGTTTTCCGTGTCTTCAGGGAAAAAGTACTGTTGCAGATGTCCTGTATTGTGGAGATCAGAGAGCTGGTGAACGACTCCAGGTCCTGGGATGTAGTGCATGCTGTGAGATCTTCCTCTGCGCTTCTAAGGGAAAAACGAACTTTGTTTATGAATTGTGCAGTCTTTCGCTTTGTAAGCTTATAGCGCTTGAGGGTCATTCTCGTATGTGGATGGCAAATATTGTAAGTAATATACAAATGATCAGAGTTGGATGGTAAGTCTTGCACCGTCCATTGTTGGATAAATGGGGCCAATGAAGCTGAGGTCAAGGTTAGATCAGGCCAACCCCTACCATGAACCGTTTCATACGTTGGAGGACTGTCTTCAGTGTTGTGCAAAGTTAAATCATTGCTGGCCACGAAATCTTCTATGGTTCTCCCTCTTGCTTGCGTCTGTGCTTGGGTAGTTCCAAACTTTCGAGTGCGCATTAAAGTCACCTGCAAGCAGATGTGACGCACTGGGATATTGTACAAGAGTTCTCTGAATTAGTTCCAAGGAGTGTGTCATGTCTTCAGATGGTGAAAGGTAAACATCCGTGATAAGCACATTGATGTTTAATGTCTCTACAGCTATAGTTATTACATCGCGTGAGGCTAGAACGATGGTGGGAGACCATTTCTGTTGGCAGCATATTATTGCCGTTCGCGGGCCTTCGGCAGTATTGCCCTGAAATACAGTCCACGAGAGAGGAAAATCGGACACTCTGTTGTCGTAAAGGTAAGGTTCCTGGGCTAAGATGAAGTCTGTTTCCGTTTCCATGGCGTACTGAATGACTTGCGCCGTTGCTGCTCTAGCTCTTTGCAGGTTAATCTGAACTATTTTTAGTGCACTTTGGTCAATGTGTCGTATGTTGAAATCAGTCATTGGATCTGCTCGTGTAGGGAAATGACCAACAGACGTGTCTTGCGTCTGGGCGTTGACATTATTGTCTGTGTTAATATTCCGTGGCATCTCTGACTCGTTTTGCTGTTCTCTGATACTCAGGACAGGCATGGTGGTAAGCTGGGTGCCTGGTATCGTACTGCATTCCGTGCTTAAGATTTGCGTCCCCACAATTGATGCATGCTGGTTTTCGTGCGTGACAGTCTCGCACGTGGTGGGGACCTGCACAGTACGGTATTTGTAAGGACACGAGACTTGTAGGTGGCCAAGCTGTTGACATTTAAAGCAGCGCTTGATCCCGAGATATTCGCGGATGGTGTGTGCATGCCATCCTGTGTATACATGTCTGATTCGGAGAGCTGCTGCGAAGCTATGAGGGTCACATTCAAAGACCCATTTGACGTTCTTTTCCTTGCTTGCGTTCCTTGAGCTTGAAGAGCGGTCTAAAGGTGTTTCTTGGGGCTGCCGTGGCTGTACTGAGTTCATCCACGAGTTCCTCTGGCTTCGTGTCCTCTGCAACATTGTGTACTGTACAACGTGGCTTTCGTCTTGCAGGGTGTTGAAAGTCTGCCGGAATTTCCGCTCTTTGTAATTGTGCCTCCAGGAGTGTGAGGTCATCCGAGGATTTGCAGAACACCTCGAAGCCGCCCTTCTTGTGCACTACAATCTTTTCCACAGCCACTGGAAGTTTAGAAATCGGCGCCTTTGCGCGTAATTCTTCTCTTAGCTCAATGTGTGAAATGTTCTTCTTTGGCGCAATCAGCAAGCTGGGCTGTTTGGTCTGTCTTAATGAGGGACTTCTTTGTTTGAGGATTTCAGCAAAGGTAGGATGAGGAGGAGAAATATGAGATGTTTCTTGCAGTGTGTCTGAGTTGACAGCAACTTCTGCGTTCTTAGTAACCACGTGATCCGTATTGGTTGAGGCTTCCTTGATTTGTGGTGATACCCTACAGAAGGGACCTTCTAGTGCCAGAGACTTAAGGGCCTGTAGTGTTTCCAGTAAGCTACTCCGTATGTATAAGGGAAGCAGAGGTTTCCCTCCTCGTTTTACTTGCGCTATACGAGTGCACTCTGCGTGCAATGTTTCAATCTTTTCTTCGTGAGACACGACACTGGAATTTACTAGAGAATCGAGGTTGGATGTATTTAGAACTGCAGAGGTATCTGTATTAATCATTGTCAGCCGAATTTACACTAAATCACTGAAAAGTAGCACTGCGAAGATCTGTGTTACTGTCACTAGATCAGAGTTCGTCAATAGGCCACTAATTCGCTAGGTCATTAATCACTTATTTTCACCAGGTAATGAGTACTTACGCTGATTCACAGTTCCGAGTGGCACATGTGCAAGGTAGGAGAGTGTTAAGTAAAGGCACAAATCACAGAGTGTCACACGAAATTACTAAATATAACACATATGTATACTAAAATATAGCACAAATACTACAATATATACACTATAATAATATACACACCACAGCACAAATACTATAATGTATATACTATTATTATAAACCAAATATTACAATGCGTGTACAGAGGTTACATATAGATGTATATTATTATATATCTATACTAAACACCATAGCACTAATACTACACTATACATATTATTATAATACTATAGTATAAACCAAAAAAATAGCAGCATGTAGTAGTTATTATTTTAATGTGAAGTTTCTTTTAAGTTAAGTTAGTATGCCTTTCTTACATTATATATATACTATGTATAGACAACTGAATTTAAATTGCAAAATTTAAGTGTCTACTGAATATTCGCCGAAAAAAGAGAGAAGTAGCGTTGTTATGTTTAGCGAAATATAAGGGAATCAGTTATAGCTAATTAAAGCTTGTCTAATTAATTAGGATGAATGCAGACAATGACAGTTAATATGCAGAATTACAATAAAAAGCGTACAGTTACATAATCTAAGGCAATACAATTAAATATAAGTGCGCGCAATGAAAGCGCTGCCAACAGTTAGCGTGCACGGGTACAAGGTGACAAGTAAATGAGAAGTGAATGGAATTTACAGAAAACTCATTAATTTCCGTCACAAATGCTAAATGTACGGAACTGAATGCTGTGAAGAAACCAGCCACAGAGCCTATTTCTCATACAATGTATACAATACACAGAATAATTGCATATACAGAAATAAAATCTAAACGAACTTAACAAGGTATGGAAACAGAGTACAATAGATGGCTATCAGTAAATAAGCACAAACAAAAATTTACAGGAAGATGAAATTAAATAAGTATAAAAATTATAATAATGATGATAAAGTAATAAAAAAAATAAATAGAATAGAATAAAAGTTAAATGCACAGTGAAAAACTAGAGCAGGGTTAAAAATTTGGGTGTACTAAAGGCTGGCTAAGTACCGTGCAGCTAAGTTCAAATTGTAAACAAAAGCACGTGCAAGACTTCTAGCAACTGCACTCTACTATGCGCGCATGCGCTAGAAGAGCTTGACAAGGAGTTGTCCGACAAGTTCAAAAGGCGACCTGTCCTGCTGGACCGACCCTTCACAGGTGTGTCGTAAAAACGAGCCGGGTGAGGATACCGGGGAAAGAACAAGGTCACACAGGAAAATTGCAATTAAATCTTACGGCGCTCAGTCACTAATTAAGCTAGCAGGACGAATGATACACTAAAAGAAAGGTAATCTAAAAGCCTACCTTATCGTCTAAGAATGGTGTCGATATTCCCACTTAGACCGGAGATAAGGGCAGATTAATCCAGAAGTATGGCACTTTTATGTCGCACAATAAAAACACTGTAATAAATCGCACAAACACTTCACAATCACAGCACTGGTATCAATGAAGAGATCATATCTTCCACTTTCCAATGGTACTAGGATTGAAATTGGATGCCTGTAGGTGCCAGAGAAATCTTAATAGATGTAAACACCACAAAACGGCACTTCACGGGGTCACGGTAACCCTCAGCAAATATCACGAGGTCGCGATACGAACAATGACTTCTGCTTTAA